CGCCTCTCCGGGGGGGCAGGAGCCACAGAGCGGCTGGAACATGGTGCCCAGGGATGCTGGAACGTGGTGCCGTTAACCCAGTTCCGGGTGAGAAGCTGCCTCCCTCGCTCTCTGGCTCCACGCCCAGAGAGGTGCTGTCTGCAGTGGAGTGGGGGGGGTGTCCCCTTTCCCGGCCTTGGTCCTGCGAGCGGGCTCCTCTCTCTTCCCCTCGACAAGGCCAGGGACCGCCCTGTGGGGCACAGGGCCATGGTGGGGCTTGGTGGATGTGTCAACTTCAGTGCTTGTCTGCTTGTGCCAGGGCTGCCGCTGGTCTCCAGGGCGTCCTGGAGGAGGAAGCCGACCCGGGCTGCGGGTGAAAAGCAGCTTTGTGACGCCGGTTCCGCCAAGTGGGGCGCCACGCTGGCCAGCCAGGGATCCCCGATCCTGCTGGAACCAGCCCAGCTCTGCTCTGTCCCTCCCCCGCTCGCAGCCTCCTTGCTCGGCTGCACGCCAGCTGTGCGCTCCCTGGGCCGGTACCCCCCAGCACACAGCAGAGCCTGGCTTGGCTGTGCCTTTATTTCCCGGGCTCCTGCGATCAGGAGGCTCTGCCTCCCCTGGGCTTCTCAGGAGGCTGAAGGCATCCAGGCCTCCGGGCGAATCCAGCTAGACGTGCTCCACGTGGCCGCTCGTCGCTCAAGTGCCCCTGTGAGACTCCAGCCTGACTCGAGCCAGGCAGCTGTGCTGTTCACAGAGCACTCGCCGTGGGCTCGGTTAGCCACGCTGTGACTGTGCCTTCCGGAGCACCCGGCTGCGAACCGGGGCCCCGTCCCGGTGACGCCGAGCCAGCCAGACTCATGTGCCTTTGCCCAGCCGGCGGCGCGGTGACAGTCAGCTCGCTGCCCGGCCCCGTCGCCTGCCTGCCCGGAGCCAGGGGGCGGATCTCCAAGGGGCGCCCTTCGGGATGCTCCTCCAGGGTGCATCTCGCTCGGCCGCTGCTTGGGGAGACTGTGGGAGCCAGGGCCTAGGGGAGCAGAGCTAGGCCTAGCAGCCCGCTGGCGATGCGAGCTCCGGCCCGGAGAAAGCTGGGCCTCTTTGCAGAGGACCAGCCCTTGTCTGAGCGGGATACATGGTGCTGTCTCCCTGGATTTCTCCGGGGAGGCTGGAGCATCTAACACCTGGTGGGAGGGGGGCATTGGGTCCAAATCCCCTGAAGTCAGCAGATCGGCTCCTGCTCGTTTCGGGGGGCTCCGGAGGCGCCCAGGCCCCTCGGGCCCCTCCGGCACTCAGCAAGTCACCGGCCTTGGTCCCTTTGCTGCGTTCCTGCCCTGCCAGGCCCCCGTGCTCTCCCTTTCCTCACTGCCTCTGGCTCCGGGAGGCTCCTGGGCTGCTGCCCCCAGAACCGCCTTTGCGTGGACTCTGGCCTGCCTGAAAGGGGAAGCGGTGCTCAGCCCAGGGAGAGGGGCTGGCTGGTCCCGGTGGGGCTGCTGCCCTGCACGTCCTGGGCCTCAGGGAGGTGCGCAGCCGAATCGGGCTGGGTGTGTTCGCTGGCATCCGAAGTCCCAGGGCGATGGCTCCTGGGCGGCTCTGAACAACTCCAGCCCCATGCCCGGCACCGATTCCTAGACTCCCCTCTGCATGGAATTGACCCTGCCTGCCGGGACCAGCCCGTGGCTCCCCTGCCGCCCACGCTCGGTTTGCAACTCCGGCGAGATCAAAGAGCGTGAAACCCTCGCTCGGCAGCGAGATAGACGAAGGGGATTCCCCTCTCCCGCCTCCGCGGTGCCGAAACCTGCCGCGAATGCCTCCTCGGCGCAGGCCGCACCCCTGACGGCTCCGGCACGGCAGGGCCTGTGGCTGCTCTCCGCTTGGTGGGATGCAGGGCTGGGGCGCGGCGCTTTGCCGGGCTCGGAAGGAAGACATTGCTCGCCTTGTGCGAGCAGCCTTAGCAAGCAGGGTGGGAGAATGTCGGTATCAGTTGTGTAGCTCGTGTGTGTATCGCGCAAACCCGACCACGCAGCCCGTGGGGTAACGCGTTTCTTCTGCGCTCTCGACGTGAGAGCAGGACTGGCACTCAGGGGAAGACGGCCTGCTGTCTGGTTCAGGTTGCACTGTGGACAGGGCGGGCAGGGCGCGATTTGCTTGCTGTGTCATTTGTTTTTAGTTCCAGTTGTTTGCGGGGGGGCGGGGGGGATGTGAATCCTTCGCCCTGGTTTTTCATCCAGGAGAAACTTGCCTTAAAGTTGCCCGGCGGGGGGTGACCTGGGTTTCTCCCCATGCTGCCTGCAGGAGAGGCAGCTTCGCTAGCGGCGCATCCGGCTTTTCTCTGGCCCCTTCTCGCCGCTTGCACCGTGGCGGCAAAGACACCTGGACCCGAGCGTTACTGAGATCTTGGCTTCAGAAGGGGTGAGGGCGTCTTCCTGGGCCTGCTGCCGTGGGAGATCCAGCCAGGCACCTCCAGATTCCACCCAGTCAGTGTCTGGGAAGGCTCCTAGCCTGCACCCCCTCTCCAAGGGGCCTGCCTCTCTGCTCCCCCTCTGGGCTGCCGCAACTCTCCAGCTGGCCGGAGGGATGGACGCAGGAGCTGGAGGTGCCTACAGCAGCCGGCAAGCACAGAGCACCTCCGGGCCGGGAGAGGGGGCTCTCTCCTCCCCAGAGCCGTCCCCCCCCTTATCTCTTGACACTATCGTGGCCCCCAAACCTCCACTCGCTTCTGAAGCTCTGGCTAAGACGATGCGACCAGGCCTTGCAAGTGCTGCTGTACAGGAGTGTCTGACCACTTCCAAAAGAGAAATCCTGCAGGGCCGTGCAGAGCTCTCGGGGGCTGGGCTTGTGCTGGGGGGGTGTGTGTTGAGATTTTAGTAGATTTCTGCATTTGTACAGTCCCTGGTTTTACTCCGCCCCCGCTCCACTCATTTTCGGTTGGGTTTTTTATTTTTTTGGCGGGGGGGAGCATATTACATTCAGCTTTTTTCCTTTGTGCATATCGATTTAAAAAAAAATCAGTTTCTCTGGGGGTTTGAAAGGCAGAAGGAATGAACACAGCTGCCGAGGCAATTACACAGCACGCGTATCTTAACTCAGGTAAAAAAAAAAAAAAAAAAAAAAACACAAAAAAAGAATAAAAACCACATTCTACCTCTGATAGCAGCGGGCCTCGGACTGCCTGTCCTGGGACTCCCGTGGTGAAATATTTCAGTCTTGCAGACATTCAGGTATTAAAACTTTGTGATTATTAAATAAAATAAATAAAATAAAAACACTGAAAGTTTACATTTTATAATAACATTATTATACAGATTGTATTTAAACTTCAGAATATTTAAGACAATTGTAACCCTGTAAAGTTGATGAAATATTAAAAACAAAAACAAAAATCTGACTTTTAAGATCGGCTTCTGATTTCTTTATTGCGTTGCCGGGTCTCTCTCCACAGGGTCCCTCAGCAACGTTGCCGCTAATCTTTTCCACCTGTGTGCAGAATAATTTTTTAATGTGCACCGAGGCATATGCAGATGTGCACCACCACTCGAAACACAGGCTGCCAGCTGTGGGCGCTCTGCTAATCAGCACCTGAATCTCTCCTGGGGAGCTGTACCAGTGCATAGCTTACAGGGAAATCTGTCTCAATATTTGATGAAACCTTGTAGAGAGCAAGGTTGCCTCTGGGTGATTTAGGTGTATTACGGTAACGCCTAACAGCCCAACTGATCTGTGCTGGGCCCCATCAACTATTAGGTGTATTACAGCAGCACCTGATAGCTTCCATCAGGAACGAGGATGCACTAAGGCCCACACAAAGACAGAACAAAGTGCCTGTCCCTGACCCCAAGAGCTTCAGCACAAAGCCAGAGCCAACAGCTGGCTACAGCCAGTGGGTACATTGGAACTGTGCTGGGCAGCGTGGCCTAGCAGTTGGATCTCTTTCCAACAGGCACACCATGGGCTTGATTCAGAAATACATGAGCACAGCTCCATGACCGTCGGCGGCTCACAGCATCTCTGAGCTCTTGCGGTGTTTGGGGGGCTGCAGAGGGTCTCCTAACCCCCCAGCTGCTCTGTGAGAACTTCCACTTCTGATTACACCCCCCTTCCTCCCGGGGTGCCTCGCCCTGCTGGCTGTGTGGCGGAGGTTCAGAAACCCTGCCCGCCGGGTAATATTTCAGCTCCTCATGGTCTGGCAGGCGGATTTTGGAAAGAGGAGACGGGGGGTCAGCAGACTGCAGGTGGCTGCCCTGGGACGGCTCCCCCCTTGGGTGGCTGCTGGGGCCTCAGTCCAGGGAAGAGCTAAGGCACCACAGTGCTTAGGAGCAGATGGGACTCGGACGGATGCTGCTTGGGTTGCTTCCCCTCCCCAGCAGCCCCCCCCCACTCCTCTGGTCTGTGTCCTTCCCCTCCCGCAGCAGCACCCACCGACGCGGTGCTGGGAAGGCCCCCCGGGAAAGTGGTTCCCTGCAGTTGGGGGGTTGGAAGGAGCTGAAATATGAGACCCATCTGCTGGGCTCTGTCTCGCAAGCCTCTCTCCTCTGCCTCCCCCTTTCTCTGGGCACATTAGCGTGGCCCCTTCTCTGGCTTTGCCAGCAGGCATGGAGCAGGGCTGGGGCACGGAGCACACCGAAAGCTGCACCTGTTAGCCGAGGCTCTCAAACAGTGTCCCCCCAACTTTTTCTGCCCACGTGCGGAATACATTTTGTTATATGCACCGAGGCATGTGTGGATGGGCACCACCAGAAGAAACATGCTGCCAGCTGTGGGCGCTCTGCTAATCAGCTGGGCAACATTTGAATCTCTCCTAGGTGGCCACCCATGTGCTCAGCTTGCAGGGAACACCTCAAAGGGCAGCCAAGTCCTGGACTGGTTTCATGTTACACGGGCAGGGAAGGGGCGGAGGCCCAGAGAGGCAAGGAGACCGGAGGCAAAGGCATTTTGCCCGGCAGTCCTGGCTCCCAGTTCCCTGCCGTAGCCAGTGGCCTGCGCTCTGAGCTGGGAATAGATCCCCGCAGTCCGGGCTCCCAGTTCCCTGCCGTAGCCAGTGGCCTGCGCTCTGAGCTGGGAATAGATCCCCGCAGTCCGGGCTCCCAGTTCCCTGCCGTAGCCAGTGGCCTGCGCTCTGAGCTGGGAATAGATCCCCGCAGTCCGGGCTCCCAGTTCCCTGCCGTAGCCAGTGGCCTGCGCTCTGAGCTGGGAATAGATCCCCGCAGTCCGGGCTCCCAGTTCCCTGCCGTAGCCAGTGGCCTGCGCTCTGAGCTGGGAATAGATCCCCGCAGTCCGGGCTCCCAGTTCCCTGCCGTAGCCAGTGGCCTGCGCTCTGAGCTGGGAATAGATCCCCGCAGTCCGGGCTCCCAGTTCCCTGCCGTAGCCAGTGGCCTGCGCTCTGAGCTGGGAATAGATCCCCGCAGTCCGGGCTCCCAGTTCCCTGCCGTAGCCAGTGGCCTGCGCTCTGAGCTGGGAATAGATCCCCACAGTCCTGGCTCCCAGTTTATTGCTCTAATAGCTGCTCGTGCTGCCTCCTCCGTGCCATAGCCTCACCTTTCCTTTCCCAGCCCTGATCTCAATGGGGACCAGTCCAGCTGGGGAGCTGGGGGTCCCCAGAAATCTCTGACTTAGAGCCTGCCTGCAAGGCCTTGGCAGATGCTGCAGGGGGCAGGACTGACTGAGGAAGGCAAGGAGCTGCATGACGCTACAGAAATGTGCGCGCGCACACCCGCACGCACACCCGCACGCACACGCACACAACAGGCTCCCTGTGTCCGTGCGGGACAGACAGGGCCTTGCCCTCCGAGTCGCCGCTGAAAGCCTGGTCTGCTGCAAAGATCACCGAGTTGTGCGAGACTTTGACGCTCCCACAGCAGATTCCATTTGGGTTAGTGCCCTTAAGGCCCTGGCCAAAATTTCCCCTGCGCGCTGTGCTGGGAGCCACCGCAGACCGTGCTCCACCCCAGACCTGGCTGCATTTCTGCAGGGGCTGGATAGGTATGGCAGCAAACTCTCTGCTGCTAGGGGCAGGCTGCCTGTCCAGGA